GCAACGACTTTCGACGGCCTGCCGCGCCTTAGGGCGACCACCCAGTAGGAGGTGCAAGCGTTGATGAAAATGATTGCGTGCAGCCCCTGGTGACTCTGTGTGGCGATGCAGCTTCACGGTCTGCAGTGCAAAATCTGCTTTACAGAGAGCCTGTGGCCGTAAAGGGAGCTTTTAACCCGAAGGAAAGGCCCGTCTGAGAGGAGATGGTCCCAACGTACACACACACACACACGTCACAGGAGGAGGTGGCAGTGGGCGCAAGCCTTCCCATTATGAATTGCTTTGCCGACAATGTGTGGGTGCAGGGCCGGGACCATCTGGAGTCCATTCGTCAAACCATCGCGAAGGGGGACAATGTAGTCTCTTGGTGGCAGAGAGTCTTCGCTTCGACCTGATCAGCCATGCGACGTTGCTGAATGTCGTTTGCCCACCGAAACGGACTTACTAAAGGCCAACACACCTTTCCTCGAGCCTTCCCGTGCTATGCTCACATCGACTTACGATCGTCTGCATGGCGAGAGAATGAACTCTGGCTGATGCCAGAACTGGGCTCAGGCAGCGAGTGCCCGAAGGAGGGATTGAAGTCAACGGAGTCAAAAGCCCGTGCCGGGCTTAAGCAACTCCAGGTGATGCTTGCCAACCACCAGACCGAGGCAGATCCGCAGGCGCGGAAAATCAAAGCTTGTTGAACTGGCATACAGTGGTTTAGGACGGTTGAGGCGTAATATTGAGTCCTCTTTCATGGTGGGTTTGACTGTTGTCATGTTCGTGGCCTCTGCTTGCAGGTGCTATCCCTACTACTGGAGCGAGAAGGTTGCGAAGAAGTGGCAGAAAAGTGCATCTTGCAACGACTTTTTTAACATCTTGCCCCAGTAGCCTTGTATGTCGAAGATGCAGCAAGCAGCTACAGGGATGCAGCCGAGGTATTTTTGTCGCTGGGCACAAGGCACGCATCCCATCCAAACCACCCAGGGCATAGCGGCAGAACGTATCCTCAGGACTTCGCTTGCCGTAAAGCGGCAAGGCTGCGTGTAAAAACCGATGCTGGTTCAACAAGCCATTCACATTGGCCCAGTCGTTTCAGGAGTTCTCAGGTTTTCACGGTTGGCTAGAAGGTTGTGTGCAGAGCTTTTGGCTCAGCCGGGAGAGGTGACAACCGATCGGCTTGCGATCCCTTTCAGCCCCTGAACTGCACTTGTCCTTCTTGGCATCTTGAGTTCATCATTCTGCTGCTGCTCAGTTTGAGCTGCACTGCTGCGGTTTCCTCAGCATGTTCCATCTCAGGCAAGGGCCGGTATTTGCTGTCAATTTACTCGAAGAAGTATTTGGACGAGGGAACAGAGGAGGCACGATTGCTGCAACGCCTTTTGGGGTTCAGCAAGTTCAGCATGGTTCAGCGGCGGTGGCAGGCGCAAGGCCCCTCTGGAATGACGGCGACGGACAACTTGAACAGTAGAGTCCGGTCGGTCTAGCCTGGGGTTGCTTGCTGGAGCTTCTGGAGCGTCCCTCGCATGAACTCCATGCATCGGCGTCATATGCGAGTGCTCCGGGCCTACGGAACTTGCACGGTGCGAACTGCACGAGAAAGTCAAACAGACATGGGAGAGTTGAGGAACCCGCATGTACGGAACTCGTTTCTCTGAGAAAAGCACTGATGTCCTGTCCAGGAGCGAGAAGCAAAGGCCGAGCGCAATAAGAAGAGTCTCAGCTCAAGAGTTCTTGGGAGAGAGTTTTGAAAGCTGATTGATTGAGGGCTGTGCGTGGGGAGCATGAGACTTCACGAAGTCATTGGCTCCATGTTCTCGATTCTCGAGTTTTGCGTGCTCGAGGCATGAGGCTTACCGCCTGCATTTCCGAAGGCTAGCTCACGACAACTTGGAAGATGCAACAGCGAGATCATGTCTTCAACAGGCTGAGTCGAGAGATTTCGAAGCCAAGCAAAATATCCGCTAATATCTGCCCAACAGGACAGTTTCAGAGATGCAGCGCTTGATGAAGGAGGGAGGCCGATCCACCAAAGAGTAAAAGGAACCTTCGGGGGCTGAGGGGATCGGGTTAGAGAAACTGCAGGGGCCTTAATGCCCCTGCGCCTGATACCGGCAAGAGCAATGAGTACCTGGTATGTCGCTTGGCATCCTCTAAGTAACCTCGCTGTGAGCTTTGATCCCTGCAATGCGAGAGGGAAAAAAGATACCGGCAAGGAGCTTGAGTCATTTGCCTCCTGGTTCCCCTGCAGGCCACATCTTCTGGGTGGCACCGTCAGGTGGCCGCGACCGCAGGACTCCCTCAAGCTAGGCTTCAACAATTGGTCGTGGCTGAAGGGCTCATGCTTAGGCTGCCCGATTGTGTGACATTCGTCAGGCACGTATTTGCGGGGATGTTGTGCGAGCTGGATGGAAAGCCCAAACATGACCCTTGTGGCCCTTGCCCTCGTCTTCAAATAAACGGCCGCAAACCAGTTTGGTCCCGGAGGCGAACGGAGACGGATCGATTCGGCCCCGCGAAGTTCGACCAGGCCCCCTGTGTTCCAGGATAGGCGATCTGACTCAGGATAGGGAGCTTAGCATGGCTTGGCAACTCGGTTTTCTAGCCTGCGAGGCCCGGCCTCATCAGGATTCCCGGCGCAGTAGACGATCGCGAAGCAAATCCCAGATGCGTTCGGGAAACCACACCTGCACCGCGCCTTTCTTACGATCTTTGTACACATGACGAGCCGCAGCCAGTATCAACACGGAGCTGTTCAGAGGACATGGTGTTAAACGGTAAGCTCTGAACGCTTCGGCACCTTGGAGCAGGCATCCGTGGGCCTGTTCCTGCTCCTGGCTCAAAAGGCTTGGAATAAGGGAAGTGGTAATTTTCAGAGACCGATCTTTGAAGGTTTAGAAAGTCGTGCTAGCATTGCTGTGCTTGCTGTCAATGGAGGAAGAGTTAAAGTTCCACTCGAAAGCACCGTGACCGGGTGACTGATTCTGTTCTAGAGGTTCTGATGCGGGCATCTAATTGAGCGCCAAGTGTTGGCTCATGGGTGGAAGATCGAGTGGCACTGCTTTGGGCAGTCTCGGTGGAAGTGATTTGGTCTTGCTTGAATGAAGTTTCCCACCATGAGCTGTCCAGCTATAGATAATAGCAGCAGAGTCGCGTCAGCTGTGCGGCCCCACGTGGTAAAGAGCTTGCAGATGCAGTTCCGAAGTTTGGCCGACTGGAAGACTGCCAGGAAACCAACAAGCGTGTTTAGGATCGTGCATTGGGTACCAGTAGTAGGCTCGTCAAGACTTGGCTTTCAAAGAGTGCACAAGCTCTTTTCGATCCTCAATTCTTGGACTCTGCATGCCGGCATGTGCCAGTCAGTTTGTGACAGGCCGGTCGCGGTGGAGGTCCCAAAACCCATTTCTTCCCTTTGGCAATGTGGACCCACAGGCCGGCAGAGTCTCCAGCTTTGGGATGTTCTGGGGCCGCTGGAGGGCCCGTGGGCCTCATTAAGACAACAAAGGGGGGGTGCCCCTTTGCACATCGCCTGAAAACGCCTGCATCTTTCAAAACTCTCTGCGACTTGGAAAGGCAGGGTTCACCTTTAGCTTGTAAGATGCCGAAGTCCGGGATCGATTCTCAGCGCGGGAAGCAGGCTAGTGCCTCCGCCGGAAGACGCCAAAGCTGGAGTTGGAGAGGCGCTGCTGGGTTCCAACCAGGGTTAGCACAGGACAGCTGTTGGCTGCTGTTGGCTGCAGGAGGTGCAAAAAGATGACTTGTTATTATTTCGTCTATGAATCGTAGCAGCTGTTGCAGACATCCAGAGCTCGAAGACACTGTCGCTGTGTACTTCTGCAAGGTCGATTGTTCGCAGAGATGGCGAGAGTCACGCAACGGCGTAATGTGCATCGTGAGAATTTCGAGCATCCAGTGATTCAGAAATGCATGAACTGCTTTCTTGAGTGCCTGAGGGCTGTGGAGTCGCATTTCGTCTTAGAAAGCCACACAAGGGACTTGAACGGAAGCTCGCAGCATCGTTGGGCTGGAATTCGGACTTGCTGTGCCTAACCATGAAAATAAGGTTGTCACATTGGCTATCTCAAAGAGAGATGGAATGCTTCTTGACTCCTTCTGCTAGTAGCTTCACGTCCGGATAGGCACGGAGCGCTGCGAGGGCTCCGGTGGGACTGGCATTTGGAGAGGCTGCGGGAGGGGAGCTGTACTATCCACTTTGTCGCGTCGGGTGCTTGGCTGATTCCAGGGACTGTAGGCTTAGGTTCGTGCCAGTTTCGACGCCAGGGAGAGGGGAGCCGTCCGTCACCTAACCAAAATCTGCAATCTCTTCAGGCGATTGAACCGAAGAGGGACTGCCTGCGGATGTTGAGGGTCTTAGCGCTTACGAGGCTTACGACTCCCCAACGCATAATTTGTGCAAGACCCAGACGCAGCCCCGAATCCTCAGTGGCTTTGGGACGGGGGCTTCCCTGCCACAGTATTTCGCGAGTCTTTTTCAGATCTGTGTTCGAAGTCGGACACATTTTCTTGAGTCATGCGTTGCATTTAGTGAACAGCCGTTCTGGAACCACAATTGCCAGCAGCAAGTCTCAGACGAGTTATTTGAAGGCAATGGATGCAGAACAGCTTGGCGGCCGAAAGAAGTTTCCACCAGCCGTGGAGAAGCGTGTCAACGAGCTGTATGTGACTTGGCATGACCCGCAGCGTTATATACCTAGAACTTGCCTTCTGGCATCTCGAACCTTCACGTGTCACTGACCTCGGGACAGGTATACCGACGGTACAGCCTTTGCAGATCCCAGACCTGGTTCGGTACTGATACAGTAAGCCCAGAGCCCCTTTGTAAGAATCAGCCTAAGTACGCAAGCAGGCGTTGGTTTCCATAAGAGAAGAACCGAAGCGAAATTCGAAAAGTCAAAAAGTCGAAATGTTTTTGACTTTTCCACTTTTCTTGCACTTTTCATCATTTTTTTTCGATTTTCGACTTTTCGGTTTTGCTTGCACTTTTCGGACTTTTTGGGGTTTTCGGCTGTTCGACTTTTCGATTGTGGCGGTGGCGCGATCGTAGGAAAATCCGCGCAGCCGAGCGCAGCGTCGCTCGGCGTCGCTCGGCGCTCGGCGTTGCCCAGTGTCGGTAAGAGTTCTGCCTTAAAAAAATCACTGGCGCCCCGTAAGTCCAAGGCTCCATCTTCAACTATCAGGAGCGCACCAAGAGTTCTGCTTTAAATCAGGGGCGCCCTATCAGTCCAAGGCTCCATCCTCGGAGTTCAAGGTTTGTGAGAGTTTTTTTTTTTTATCAGTGGCGCCTTATCCAAGGCTCCATCCTCGGAGGTCAACGTCTGTGAGAGTTCTGCTTTTATTTTCAGGGGCGCCTCATCCATCCAAGTCTCCATCCTCGGAGTTCAAGATCTGTTTAAGAGTTCTGCTTCAGATCAGGGGCGCCCCATCAGTCCAAGGTTCCATCCTTGGAGTTCAAGGTCTGTGAAAGTTCTGCTTGAACCAGCGCCTCCTCAGTCGAAGGCTCCATCCTAGGAGTTCAAGTTCTGTGAGAGTTCTGCTTTAACTATCAGGAGCGCACCAAGAGTTCTGCTTTAAATCAAGGGCGCCCTATCAGTCCAAAGCTCCATCCTCTGAGTTCAAGGTCAGTGAGACTTCTGCTTTGACTGTCAGGGGCGCCTTATACAAGGCTCCATCTTCGGAGTTCTAGGTTTCTGACAGTTCGGCTTTAGCTATCACGGGCACCTCATCAGTCCAAGGCTCCATCCTCGGAGTTCAAGGTCTGTACGAGAGGCGTTGCTCGGCGTCGCTCGGCGCTCAGCGTCGCTCGGCATCGCTTGGCGTCGCTCGGCGTCACCCGGCGTCACTCGGCGTCACTCGGCGTCACTCGGCGTCGCTCGGCGTCGCGCTCGGGGCTCGGCGTCGCAAGGCATCGCTGCTTGGCGTCGCTCGGCGTCGCGTGTTCTTGCACGGTTCGGACTTGTCGGGCTTTGCGGCTTTTCTACTTTTCGGGTGTTCTTGCACTTGTCGGACTTTTCGTGGTTTTCGGCTTTTCGACTTTTCGGGTTTTCTTGCACATTTCTAATTTTTGGGCTTTTCGACTTTACCGCTGTTCGTTCAGGGTTTTGGGGCCTAAGGTTTTGACAATTTTGAGGTGTTTGAGACCTTCTGGGGTTTGTTTTTCAGATCCCTGGAGGGTCCCTCTCACGGTTCTAACTCGATATAGCATGTGGCGATTTATAGGGCATTATATAGCATTTTTTAGCTAGGTTTTGGGAAGAGCTTGGCTTTGAAAAGAGCTTATGGGGTTTGTTCGCATCTTTAACTAAGCACTGAAAGACACTGGTCTGTCGTGTTTTTCTAGAGCTGCACGGTTTCCAATGAGGTTTTGTAGCTTCACAACGATGGGGGCGGAGCGCTTCGTAGTGCTGTTCCACAAAGCTCCTCGCCCTATCGTGCCCCGCAGCAATTTTCACAACGCTATGGCCCCCCAAACTAGTGTTTTCCGTGAGGATTCGAACATTTATTTACTTTGATTTTCTGCTGGTTCTACTCGGGTTTAACCCTGGTTGTCTTTGAAGTGTTTATAAATATTTCTATCGGCGTTGATGAGGTTCTGAGGTTTTGGTTACGATTTTAGGCGGTTCAGCCGATCTGCGGTCTTTCACCGCCCGAAACAGCAAAACTTCATAGGAATTCATAAGAACTGTTTTCCAAGTTCAGTGTTCGTCTCTTCACGTTTCAGACAACCCTGCTGCACGGAACTTGCATCCCCAAAGTCAAACACCTCCGAGGCTACAGCCTAATGCGCCACCAGACATTGTCCCAGTGATGTAAATGTGCAATTACATATGTATGTATGTGTGTGTGTGTATATATATATGCTAAATCGCTTCCCTCTAATATTAAACGCCCCTCCCCCCCCTCCCTAATATTAA